TTAGTAGCAGGCGGGAAACTCAGCAAGGCATTCAGTCTATGAGCAAAACTCAGAAATCAGCTGTGTGTTTCAGTCCATGTTTGGACGGGTCATCACACCTGTGACTCTAGGGCTGCGATCCTAGATATGCGAGCAGACGACCCACCGACATTCGCAGAAACTCGGGAGCGCATTATTGACAGGTGTCTATTTTGATCACACACCATTCTCCGAGTTTCCCCTTTGTATGAGATAATAACTGCTTCAGCTAGCCTCCTCTCCAACTCCTCCTCAGAGTCCTCACTAAAGGGGAAACTTAGTCTGGAGGATGGCTCCAGTCAAAGGGGAAACTTGGATGCAGCACCATTCTGCCAGAAGGCGCTGCATCCAAATTTCCCCTTTGTCTGGAGGATGTTCCAGCACAGGGGTAGAAAGGTGGAGCACTGGGGTGATGGAGGAGCTCAGCGTGGGGAGGAAGACCTCCATGGCTATGGAGCAAGAGTTGTCGGAGGTAGGAGAAGGCCTATGCTAGAGCGGACAGGGGGAAAAGATCTTCCAGGCAGGCTATGGAGGTGAAGTAGAGGTAGATGAGGCGGAAGGAGGCAGGTGGAAACTTGACAAGGAGACCTACCTTTGGCTATGGTGGACCATCTTCATCTCCTTGGTTGGCGATGCATCAAGAAGGCCCGTGCTGCGATACCGGCTTGACATGGACTTAGTCTGGAGGATGGATATGGTGAAGTGAACACCAGTCATGCATTCAAACACACATGTTCAAATACACACAAAAGTAGCATACACAAGGCATACCACTCAAGACGACGACGAAGAAAAACCGAGCGTAGTATATGGTGGAAATAGAGTGCGTAGCAACCTCTCGAACAAAGAGGAAACTTGGAGAATGGTGTGCGATCAACAATAGAGGCATCTGGGAGAATGGGAGAATGGTGCTGCATCCAAGTTTCCCCTTTGTCTGGAGGATGTAGTATTCCACTCATCTAGTTCCAGTGGAGTTTGAACTCCGTTCTGTATTTCTCTCATCTGCTTCCAGTGGAGTTCGAGCTCAGGTCTGTAGACCACCTAGATAAGAGTCCCGAATAATATCATGACCCGTGCGACTGTAGGGCCTCTCTGAGTTACTGGAAAACCCCTACCTGGCCCCTGTCAAGTTCCCTCTCTACCCCTGTGCTGCCCTACTATTCCCGTTTGCCCTCCTACAGCTAAATTTCGGTACTGTCCCTGAATCTAGGCCTAGTATTGACTAACCTAGGCCTGCTTGAGATACAATACCACAGCATGGGAAACAGAGTTAGCGCATGGACACAGCCTTGGACTCCGCGCTTCAACACATTAGCACACGGGACAAATGCCCATCATCAGCACGATACACACTCAGAACACACAGCAGAACAGAGTCAACAGACAGATTCGGAAATCTCAGCAATTGGGTAAAAAATAGTAAAATACAACATTTTCGCAGAAAAGCGCAGATTTCTTGTACTGCACCTTGCATACTGAAGGATTGATGTGTGCTTCCCTAACCAAAAAAAAAAAAAAAATCCAACATTTCAAATAAATGTGGAGTCTCTTATGTGCAGTAACCCGCACTCTGCAGAGGCCGGGCTGTGTGACCACGCACTGCCCGGCCCAGCCCAGCGTCTGGCCAGTGAGACCCAGCGCTGGACTGGGGAAACTCAAAGGTCAAAGTCAACTGTCGGGTCGCAGGTACCGTACCCAAGTCCACGAACAGATGCACACATGTGTTGTATGCAGGTACCGGGCCAAGACATCGGACCAAGGGAGAAACAGTTGCAGACCGATCCAGGCCGTCGCCGCATCAAGATCTTGACGGCACAGGACCACTGCACCGGGGCATTGACCCCGAGTCAACACTACTTAAGGTCGACTCCTGGCCTTGACATTCATTCGTTCTGTCGCGAGTCAGGGCTGACTCTACTTTGACGCGACGCTGGCTTGAGAGATGCTGGCTACTTGCTGGCTGAGCGCTGGCGTTCTTCAGCGTCGACACGCTGCTTGCTTGCTGGCATGGTGGCTGGCTTGCTCCTGTCTACAAGGTGCTGACGTGGCAGCGCCACGTGTCGTTGCTGATGTGGCTGCTGCCACGTAGTATGATGGTGACGTGGCTGTGCCACGTGTCCATTCGCTGTTCAGACTTTCGTCGTCCGGAAGGAGATCAGGGACTGTGGGGATGAGATGACACGTACCTGTGTGAGGCGACATTGCTGCTCCGTTGATGAAGAGAGTGCTGGTGTGCCACGTGGCACTTTGAGGAACTCGGATCTGTTTCTGGAACAACATAGCTGGAGAGGGGGCGAATCTGTTTGGCCTGAAGAAGAAGTGGGCTTCTTCTTCTTCTTCTTCTACTTCCCCCCTCTCTATTTCTTGTCTATGTATGTGTATACTCGGTTACGGGAACAGATCTGTTCGACATTATTCATCAACAAGATTGGATTACTCGAGTTGCTTTGTCATTGAGCTACTGGACTTGTGCTGCACGAGCGCTGATGCTCGTGCGTCGTTGTGAACAGTATCTATATGTCCAATGTGTGTGTTATCTCGCCTGGGTTCATTACAGTTTGGTATCGGAGCAGAACTTCCGTAATTCGCGCCCGCACGTGCGCGCGCGCTGAAGAAGACATCTGACGACAACGTTGATGATCGTGACGATCGGGATCTTGATGATGATGTCGTAAATGATCAAGATCACGACCACGATCACAAACGTGATTATGCAGACGACGACGGAGATCATCACGGCGGAGAAAACGAGCGTGACAAAGATCATGATCACGTAGGTGATCTCGCCCCCAAAGAAGACTATCACAACGATCAAGATCACGACGACCATTGAAGACCCATGCGCGCGCCACTTGGCGCAAGGTAAGTGGGCCCGCATCTCAGAACGCGTTTCTAGACGGCTGAGAGTGTGCGCCGATTGAAGAACGCGCGTGGGGAAAATGACGCGCACCTGCCACCTGGACAGGTAAGTGGGGGTTTATAAACGCGATTGTCTAGACACGACACACTCATTCCCCTTGAAGAAGCTGTGTGCGTCGGTACAGAAGATGATGATGATGATGTTTTGAAGACAAAGACGATCTTGCTGACGTAGCAGAGTTGTATCACATTGGCAAGACCTTGAGCAGGGACCTTGATTGCTGACGTGGCAGGGGGGATACTGACTTGTTGTTGTTTCCCTGTTGACGCGGCTTGATTGAAGTTGTATCTGGGCGCCAGATTGGCTGACGTGGCACCCCCCTCTTGATTGATTGATCACTTGATGCTGACGTGGCAAGTGTTGTGTGCTTGTTGAGTTGGCATTACAGGGGTGTTGCGTGATTGGCACGTGTGTGCCTGGGTGGGAGGATCATTCTGAAAACAGAGGCGGTACAGCTAATTGAATAGCTGTAGTGCCAGCTGTTGCAACGGGGTGATTGTTGCTTTGATCAGGACTGACGCAGAGGATTATTGATGCTGACATATTGATTGCTGTTGATGTTGGCTTGCTTTCCCTGTGTCGTTTGTTTGTCCTGTGTTGGCATACTCACCTGTGTGTATCTGGTCACTGTGTCCGGATCGGTACCTGCAAAAGCACGTCATCACATTGAGTTAGATAAATAAGAACAGCGAAGAAAACGAAAAAGAAAAATAATTGAAAATATTCTGCAGTTATTTTTGCTGTCATTTGACCTTGCTGTAATCTACTGTTTGGAATTTGTGGGGCCGCGAAATTAATTATTGTTTATTTTTGTTTATTGTGCGGTAGATACCCCACACTAAAATGTCTCAGGAAGAGACTGTTCAGACCCCAGTTGAGGGCCAGAGTGTTGAGCAGCTCCCTGACCCTCGTACCAGGGCTCAGGTTGAGCAGAGACGACAACTGTTGTCCGGACGGCTCAACCTTCTGGCCACTGAACTGCACGATGCCGGTGCAGAGGCTGAGTCACATGTGAGGGCCCAGTTTGATCTGCGGAAAGCCCAGGCAGACCTGGATGCAGCTCAGACTGGCACCGACCTATTGAAGATACATGAGTTCATTATCCAGTGCAGTAAAGCACTGGATGCGCACATCTGTCAGCAGTTCGAAGACATAGCAAATGGCAGAAACGCCAAAAATGATGTGGTGGTCACGGAACAGACGACTGATGAGAACATCCGCCAATTGGAAGAAGCTCTTGAAAAAGAGAAAACGCGCAAGGCGAAAATGCTAAAGAAGAAAGAACAAGATGAACAGCAAGCAAAACGAGAACAAGTCAGACAGCATGTGGTAACTGTGTCAGGGGAAGAACAGGTTGTGGCACTGAACCAACTGGTTGAGTACCTTGCTCACTTGGAGACAAGGCTCGACCATTTTGAAGCAAAGTTGGAAGAATTGACCGTAGGATTGAAGAATGTGACTAACTTGGTCAAAGGAAAGGAAAAAGAGGTTCGAAAGGAACAACGTGTGAAGAAACTAATGGGTGATGCTATGAAAGATCTCAAGGTCGAAGTAAAGAAGGGGGAACCATCTGGGCTTCCTCCACCGACGCCACCATCAAGTCCACCATCCAGTCCTCACCCATCAGGAGGAAAGAAAGATAAAGAAGAGAAAACTGAGAAGCCAAAGAAGAAGGAAAAGGTAAAGATGAAATTGCCTTTCACATTCAGGAATAAGAAGGATGAAAACTTATTACTGTGGATTGCAGAAATACTGCAAGTACCAGGCTTAAATCTGCAGGATGATCAGGTCTTGTATATTTATGCCCGGGCCTTACCTGAACCTATAAGAGGACAGTTAGTGGTCGAGTCAAAGTCAGGTAAGTACAAGTACCGACAGTTTCGTGATTTGGCTCTCCAGAGAGAGCAAATGACTTCTCAAGTTAAACAGTCATATGCATCTGTGGTGAAATCTGGTGGTGCAGGTGCAGGTGCGAGATACGGTAAGCGGGTCCTTTGGCACCAAAAGCGTCAGGACCACATGCTTGTCGTCTTTGACAACGACACAGTGGAGAAGTTACCGCTAGAAGAAGAAGGAGTTCCTAACAGCAGTGAGTCCGGAAAGGGGGACGTCACTGCTGCCGTGGTCAACAAAGGAGGACCACGAGGTCCGTATCGAGGGAGGACACCACGCTCGTTTCCTGCGCACCCAGGTATCGCGGCATTTAAGCTGTGGGAGAAAATGGAGATTGACCAAAAGACCTCGCAGGATAGGATGGACAATGCGCAGTGTTTAAAGTGTGGAAAGGAGGGACACATCATTGCATGGTGTCCACTCATCCGACACCCAAAAGCGAGCCGCCAGTAGGAGTAGCATCTGCTCCTACTGAGTTGAAGAAGTCAGACGATGAGAAAGGTAAGGCGCCTACTAACCCTTTCACTTCTTCGACTCGCGTGGCAGAGGATGGTTGTCCTCCGGTCCATCATCCAGATCACCCTGAACATGTCTTATGTTCTATCTCTCTGGATGACTCCTTTGATGAGCTTGGTAACGAGTTGCTGGCACTACGAAGCTCATGGGCAAAGAAAGCAAAGTCTAAGAGTGAACTATTACTTGCGGATGTAGAGATCGCACACGAACGGACGGGTGCACTTTTAGACTCAGGATCTACACGGTCCTACATTTCTGAGAGAGCTATTCGCAAGCTTCATCTTGGAATGAAGGTAAAATGTTTAGCACGACCTATCACGTCTATTCTTGCTGATAAAAGCACGATCACTGTCTCTCATTATGTCGATCGTGTGAAATGTAAGTTCAGAACTAAAACTGGAAAGAAGATTGTGCATGAAGTATCNTGCTGATAAAAGCACGATCACTGTCTCTCATTATGTCGATCGTGTGAAATGTAAGTTCAGAACTAAAACTGGAAAGAAGATTGTGCATGAAGTATTTTTCCTAATTGAGAAGAACTTGCCTTTTGATATGATTCTGGGAATGGATTAGCACGAGGAAGCCAACCCAGAAATCAAGTTCAAGGAAAAGGAAGTACGCCTGAAAAACGCACAATCTGAACTCGAGGCCATCAAACTGTATCACAAGTTTGGATCTGACTCTACTCTGTCTTTCTGTTGTATGAGCTATCCAGCTTTTCGAGCGATGGTCAAGAAGAAGCAATTGGATCAGGAGGTAATGATGGTGTTGGTAAAGGAAGTTGGTGAGTCTTCGACACCTTACCCTCCATCGATACAAAAACTCTTAGATGAGTATAAAGATCTATCTCAGGAACCTACTGGGATCACTGAGCGTGCTATCAAGCACACTATCGAGATCATTCCTGGAAGTAAGACTCCCAAGGGCCCTATTTATCGAATGTCGTCTAGGGAACTTGAGGAATTGTGCAAGCAACTCCAGGAATTAACTGACAAAGGATGGATTCGCCTTATAGTTCCTCACCTTATGGAACGCCTGTCTTATTTGTGCCCAAAAAGGAAGGTGAGTTGCGTCTATGCATTGACTATAGAGGGTTGAACTCCGTCACTGTGAAAAACGTTGAACCCCTACCACGAATTGACGACTTGTTGGATCAGCTGCAGGGATGCAAGTACTTCAGCAAAATTGATCTGAAGTCGGGGTACCATCACATCGAGGTGGCGCCTGAAGATCAACACAAGACTGTTTTTCGAACCATGTATGGACACTACGAGTTTGTGGTCATGCCCTTTGGTTTGACGAATGCCCTTGCGACCTTCCAAAGGTCTATGAACGAATTGTTTCGACAGTGGTTGGATCAGTTTGTAATTGTATATCTCGATGACATCCTAGTCTACAGCAAAACGTTGGAGGATCACGAGAAATACTTGCGTCTTGTCTTGGGTAAGCTACGCGAAGGTAATTTTAAACTTAACCCAAAGAAGTCTGAGTTTGCAAAACCTGAAGTGCTCTACTTAGGGCATATAGTTAACGAAGAAGGACTCAGACCGGAAGCGAAGAAAATTTCAGCGATTAGAGACTGACCACAACCAAAGTCCGTCACTGAGTTGAGGTCTTTCCTTGGGTTAGCCAGTTACTATAGGAAGTTTGTTAGGAACTTCTCCTTAGTTGCTGCTCCCATGAGAAGACTCCTGAAGAAAGGAACCATATGGTTGTGGGACAAGGACTGTGAATCATCAATGAAGAAGTTAAAATATGCACTGACTCACTACCCTGTTCTGAAAATCGTTGACCCATCTATTCCCTTTATTGTGACCACTGACGCAAGTCAGTATGGAATTGGCGCAGTTCTACAGCAGGACGATGGTAAGGGTTACAGACCTGTCTGCCAGACTTCCAACTCAGAAGGTCGCCGAGTCCCCTTACGAAAGGGAATTGTATGCGCTTGTCTGTGCATTGAAATCCTAAAAACACTACTTGTTAGGGAGACACTTCACTGTCTACTCAGATCACTCAACACTGAAGTGGATAAAGACTCAACCAAAACTCTCTGACAAACTAGTACAATGGTCTGCTTTCCTCGACACCTTTGACTTTGAGTTGAAGACAATCAAAGGTAAGTCTAACGTTGTGGCAGATGCATTGTCTAGGAGAAGTGATTTCTTTGGAACCACTGTTTCTTACTTGGATATAGGAAATGATGTACAGGAACAGATCCGACAAGGCTATGCTAATGATCCTATCTGGAAACCCATCATTGACCTTGTCACTAAGGATCCTGCCCTGTTACCCAAGTATAAGATAACAAATGGATTGCTTTTCTTGATAGACGAAACTGAACAACGGTTGTGTATTCCTCATAAAGAAGAGATTAAAAGTCTGCTGATTAGGGAATGCCATGACTTTGCAGGACATTTTGGGTTCAAGAAAACTTATGCAGAAGTAAGAGAACGCTTCGATTGGAAAGGGCTAAAGGAAGATGTACTAACTTATGTGCGCACTTGTCTGGTATGTCAGAGAAACAAACCACCACATGAGAACCCTCTGGGTCTACTAAGGCCCTTACCGATTCCCAGCGAACCAGGTGAGTCTATCTCCATAGACTTCATGAGTTTCGTCAAGAGTCGAAATGGCAATAGTCAAGTGATGGTTGTAGTCGATCGTTTCTCGAAGTATGCAATGTTTATTCCTTTGCCTGCTGAAGCGAAAACTGAGCTTGTGATCCAGAAGTTTCAGATGCGATGGGTAACTGAGTATGGATTCCCATTGTCCATTGTATCTGACAGGGATGTGAGGTTCACAAGTATGTCATGGCAAAAGCTGATGGAGGCATACGGCACTCGTTTGACCATGTCGTCAGGACGCCATCCTGAAACGAATGGGCAAAGCGAGCAAATGAACCGCTTGTGCCAACAGCTCTTGCGCATGTAAGCCCGATTAGATTGATTGGGACGAGAACTTACCAAAAATAGTTAGTGCATACAACAGCAGCATCCACACTGCAACCGGACGCACTCCTAACGCACTACATAAAGGATGGAATTCGCGACGTCCCATTGATATATTAACCAGGGACCAATTTTTACAGCTACCGCTAGGAACCCGTGAATATGCAGTTCTGTTCCAGGAAGACATCCAGAAAGTTAAGGAGAACCTAAAGAAAGCACAAGAACAGATGATTAACCAGGCCAACAAACATCGAAGACCTGCTAACTTTCAAGTAGGTGACATGGTTTGGGTAAAGTCTAATGAGTTCTCCTTGGAAGAAGATGTTTCACAGAAATTGTTGCATGTCTACTTTGGGCCCTGGGAAGTTCTCAAAGTAATTGGAGATGCAGAGGGACCGTCCTACAAAATTGATATTCCCCCGCATCTCAAAACCTATCGTGTATTCCATGCCTCTAAGTTGCTACCGTATGTGGAGGGAGATGAGTTTCCTAGCAGGCCTTCTATGATTCCACCTTCGATGGACGAAAATTATGAAGTACATCGGATTGTAGACCATGGGTTCTTCTCCACCGGAAGGCGTGGACGACCGCAGAAGCAGTTCAAGGTAAGATTTAAGACTCAAAAACCATCCGAGGATCGGTGGTTCAGCAAACAACAGCTCCTTGAAACTGCTCCTGACATTGTCTCTGCATATGAGCGTGGGTTGAAAGATTAATTATTTCTGGGATGGAACTCGAAATTGGGTCGGCAGGAATGCAGTAACCCGCACATTGCAGAGGCCGGGTTGTGTGACCACGCACTGCCCGGCCAAGCCCAGCGTCTGGCGAGTGAGACCCAGCGCTGGACTGGGGAAATTCAAAGGTCAAAGTCAACTGTCGGGTCGCAGGTACCGTACCCAAGTCCACGAACAGATGCACACATGTGTTGTATGCAGGTACCGGGCCAAGACATCGGACCAAGGGAGAAACAGTTGCAGACCGATCCAGGCCGTCGCCGCATCAAGATCTTGACGGCACAGGACCACTGCACCGGGGCATTGACCCTGAGTCAACACTACTTAAGGTTGACTCCTAGCCTTGACATTCATTCGTTCTGTCGCGAGTCAGGGCTGACTCTACTTTGACGCGGCGCTGGCTTGAGAGATGCTGGCTACTTGCTGGCTGAGCGTTGGCGTTCTTCAGCGTCGACACGCTGCTTGCTTGCTGGCATGGTGGCTGGCTTGCTCCTGTCTACAAGGTGCTGACGTGGCAGCGCCACGTGTCGTTGCTGATGTGGCTGCTGCCACGTAGTATGATGGTGACGTGGCTGTGCCACGTGTCCATTCGYTGTTCAGACTTTCGTCGTCCGGAAGGAGATCAGGGACTGTGGGGATGAGATGGCACGTACCTGTGTGAGGCGACATTGCTGCTCTGTTGATGAAGAGAGTGCAGGTGTGCCACGTGGCACTTTGAGGAACTCGAATCTGTTTCTGGAACAACGTAGCTGGAGAGGGGGCGAATTTGTTTGGCCTGAAGAAGAAGTGGGCTTCTTCTTCTTCTTCTTCTACTTCCCCCCTCTCTATGTCTTGTCTATGTATGTGTATACTCGGTTACAGGAACAGATCTGTTCGACATTATTCATCAACAAGATTGGATTACTCGAGTTGCTTTGTCATTGAGCTACTGGACTTGTGTTGCACGAGCGCTGATGCTCGTGCGTCGTTGTGAACAGTATCTATATGTCCAATGTGTGTGTTATCCCGCCTGGGTTCATTACATATGTCACAGGGCATATTCTGAAAATCTCCGAAACAAGTGTGGATGCACGCATTTGCCCTGGCTGTCTGTATAGTGCGAATACAGATCAAGCTTGTGCTTGATTGTCCAAAAGCGGACATCTAGAGTTGTTCAGAGGTTACAAAATAGGTGGGCACATTTTTCCAGAACTTTTGCCTACATAGATAAGATCATTGCACTTGCTAATCTAAGGACACGTACCATTAAAAATTTGATCATTACACTTACTAATCTAAGGACTCGTACCCTTAAAAGTTTGATCATTACACTTACTAATCTAAGAACACGTACCATTAAAATTTTTGAAATCCTCTCCTGAATTTGTGCAAGGACTATGGGTCTTGCACTGCACACCCAACCCCGGTTTTGGCGAGCGATTCGTCACCGCACTCACGCACCTCACCTACCTGATATGAAATCCGAGCCTCGTCCTACCAGTCTGCCAACCCGTGCCTAGGCTGGAGCTACGAGTTGTTCACTTACCCGACCTACCTCCGAAAGTAAAGGAATTCAAGGAAAATGAGATATAGCGAAATGAGTCAAATGGCAAAACTCCAGAAAGTAATTTCACATTGAAAGCCAGAAAGCCCAACACTGTCCAGAAAGCAAAAATGCACTGATATTCCACCAACGGATAACCAAAGCACCGAATCTGAATGCGAATGAGAGCATAATGTCGCCACCACCAACATATGTATCCAGAGCCCCTCCTCCTACTTGGCGCTCAGCGCCCAGACTACTTCTACACAGCTACTAGCAGCCTACGACTTGACAATGCATCCCATTGACGTCAGCAGCAACAACTGCAGTGCATCTCTCTCTCTCTCTCTCTCTCTCTCTCTCTCTCTCTCTCTCTCTCTCTCTCTCTCTCTCTCTCTCTCGTCTTCCTTCCCATACACGAAGACCACCACCACCCGCTGACTTTGTCCAAGCCCCAGCCTGGTTATGGAGGCTGGGCTATGGCTCTGCCCTCAGCAGCGCCCGGCATCCTCTCGACGCCTGCGCGCTCCTGCACCTCGCACTAGCACAACAAGCAGCCTGTGAGTCTAAGCTCCAGCAGCGCGGCCGCCCGCAGGTGCCAGTGCCTGACCACTCCCCCTACGCCCTACCCTTTCCTATATGGAAAGAGGCGTGCGCTTGCCTTTGCTACGCCCATATGAGACCGAGTTTCCAATAGCTTCAGTCCCAGCCAAAGTGTTTGTGCCCAGGCCCAATTCAGAAAGTGGTCTGGGACCGAATTGGTTAGGCATGCCCAACCACCCAGGCACAAACGTGCAATGCTCCCTGCTTCTACCACGTTACTGGAAGAGCCCGGAAGGCTCACGAATATTTTGGATTCTCACGAGCAAGGCAGATTGTGACCGACTGGCACGTGGCAACTGTCCGACGCAGACCAAGATTCACAAAAATTGACGTGTTCAGGGCCCACTGAGATTCAGGGGGCCCGCCTTCACTCAGGGCGGGCACGCACCTGCTGCAGGGCTCTAAGCCGAGGCATAAACCCTCACACTCCCTCGTCCTTTACTTTGATAGTCCTCTGAGAAGTCGTTACACAGCAGGCTGCTTCCCTTTTAAATTTTGTTCATAGTTTGAGATCATTTGGGGAGCAGTCTTCATTAGCTCTTCTCTGATGAACCACCGATCTTCTTTAGGATCTGTATGATGTCTGAACCGCACTCGGTACTGCATCTGCGGTTTCGGAGGGCGTCCCCTGCCTGGAGGCTTGGGCACAGGCATCAGCTTGTGCTCAACAATGTCGTCGATGTCCAGAATTTCCCAAGGCCCAAAGTTTTATGGCATCAGTTTGCGTGAAATTCCCAACTCTTGGCCCAAATCAGATGATTTTACCCAGACTCTACCTGAAATGCAGACGGTCGTCTGTGTTTGTTCTTTGATGTCACCATGGCATCTCGTGCTTTCTTAATATGTTCTACGACATGCTGCAGCATCTGTTCGACTGTACAACAAACTCTAAGCTTCCAGGTGCTGCAGTTGGCTGATTTTCAGGTAACAGAAAGTCAAGAGCAGATCTGGGCTTCTGTTACATGCTGTACAGGCCCCAACCTGTTTCCCTACAGGGAAACTTCCAGGCTCTTGCCTGGAAGCTTCCTTCTGACAGGGCCTACAGGCCCCAGCCTGTTTCCCTACAGGGAAACTTCCAGGCTCTTGCCTGGAAGCTTCCT